GGGAGGGTTTCTTACTCGATTGTTCAACCTCTCAACGAGAGCACCAAATGATGGATAGTCTACCCGGGGGTAGCTTATCCGAGGGGTTATTGCGGAGAATAACTAGAGAGAAGTCAGAGCAAACAAGTAAGAGAGAGAGTGTATATTCGATATGTATTAAGCGTTTTCAGCGTGTTATCACTTGGTTACAAATGGGGAAATGGGGTGCTATTTATAATGGTTCAGCACGATGATCTGTACGCATGTGAGGCGGATATCTTGTCGAGTGAGATGCCTTCGGGTATAGAGCAGTAGCCGAGGGCTCTTCAACCCGATGGCCCCTGGTGCCGGGGGCTCATAGTGCCGAGGGCTACTGTTTTCGCCGTTTTCTCCCAGTTTCTTAATTTGCTTGAGAAACCCGTTCTGTGAGAATTTAGAGCCTTCGGCCAGGGGGCCGAAGGCACTCCTGGCGCGTAGTGCGGGCTGCTTGGTACTCTGGGCGCTGTGATTTGGGCCTGTTGGACCTTTGCTGGAGTAGTAGGAGTCTTTGGGCCGGGGGTTCCCGGGCCATATACTCCATCACAAAGCATCACTTAAAACGTACATTACATGACAAAAGGGGCATTTATACCCATGTTCAGTACACATGACATTACATAACAAAACGAGTTTCATCCATTCACAGAATGCACTTCTATGGTCAGCCAGTCTATGAAAAAATTAACTTGCTTGAATCAGTTCGTTTCTGGAACGCGGTTCATCCCAAATTCAAGATTATACACTTCGTATATTATACTCATAGGTCTGTGTCGATTAAACTTGAAGATGAATACTTACTTGAATGCAATAGGAATATAGATAAAGCAGTTCAGTGAAGGAGACGACCAAAGCACTACCAAATCCCTCCAGATACCTCGTCGTCGGCCATGGGTGCTTGAATATTCAAATGGAAGGAGAATAGCCCTAACCGTGAATGAGGCGCAATAAAATGTCGAAGGAATGCATCCAGGTTGGCAAAAATTAACCACATCAGCATATAACTGCCAGACAAGAAAGGATTGGGTTAAAAACGAGCCACATCATCACATAACCGGGAATCCCAAGTCTGCAGCCGGTCATCGGGCTTGTATGACTCATTTTATGAAGTAAGTGGATGTTTGTGACGCTTTTTTTAGTAGATGGGTGTATGTGACGGTTTCACATTAATACATGGGCTTATTTGACCCTTTTTCCTTCTTTTTTAGCTACAAGTTACAATACTCTTATTTTCATATTTGTTAATGTACAAGTTCGACCATTAATATGTATGGTTCACTATGAGTAATTAGTAAATAAAATACAAATCAGTCCAAATAGGACTAAAACTATGGCAAAAATTCATGCTATGTTTTTTTTATCAAAATAGGACGATATTAGTTCTATTGGAAACATACCTATTTTTTCATTCCATTCTTACTCTTCCTTTAAATATGAGTTAAAATAGTCAAAAGCCATAATTAAATGTTAATTCATAATAAATTTGAAAAAATTTCAAAAATTCTTAGAAAAATAATTAAAAATTTTATAAAATATTTTTAAATTAAAAATATCAAAAAAGATTTTTATTAATTTTTTTTTAAAAAAAAATTAATAAAAAATAGTAAAACTCTATTAAAAAATATGGATGCCTTTCCCACCGCCTGTACTACCTCCCTGCACCACCACCTCCGGTCGGTGAAAAAATGCCATTTTCCCTAAAAACTATCATTTTTTTTTCTGAAAATGTCAAAAAATGGCATATTTCTCTTTAAGAATGCCAACATTTTCATTGTTTTCTGCCATAAATATGACATTCGTAATGAATTTGACATTTTTTCCCATTGTGACTGGAGGTGGTGGTGATGAGGCAGCAGAGGCGGCAGTGATTTTTTTTGAGTTTTTTTTTAAATTATTTTTTAGTTTGTTTTTTGAAAAAAAAAAATAATTATTATTATCAAATTTTTTATTAATTTTTAGCATTTTTTATGAATTTTTATTATTTTTATTATTTTATTATGAATTATCAATAGCTATAAGTGTATATTTGTCCAAGACACACATAATTAGTCATATTAAAACATTTCAATAGCTGTAAGGGAGTAGTTTATTTTTTGGTCCTATTTGTGAAAAGTGAGTGAATTTTAGTCCTATTTTGATAATTTACTCTAAATAGAATTAAAAAATCAAATTTTTAAATTTAAGTTGAGGCAAATTTAGTAATATTTTTCAAAAAATGAATTTCTAATATATTATGGTACTAAATAAAATATAGTCAAAGTTAATATTGTAAAATTTAACACGTTGTAATTTGCTTAGAACGGATATGATATATGTATGTATATAGAGAGAGACATCTATATATAAATATGGAGTATAACATCTAACTATATATACATATAAATAAATACAACCCGCACGGGTAGCTCAGTTGGTTCAGTGATGGGAAATTTAGACCAAGTGACCAAGATTCGAAACTCACAGCAGCCGTGTGGAGGTCATAGAACCTGGAATAAGGCTGTGCCTCTGGTGCGCACGGGAAAAAGGCCTACCATCATTGGGCCGACTGAGTCACTGTGATTAACATCCTTCCAAAAATCCTGTCGGGTCGGGGTATGGGGGACTCCTGGGGTGGGAGATTCCACCTTTGGACCAAATATAAATAAATACATATAAATTCCCCGGGTATTCTGTCCTTTTTGTTGCTTATTGCTTAAGTATTGTGCAACCCTGTTATATCATTCCATTTATAGAAGAAACATCCCATTTTTAGGGGTGGCTTCGATCTTGTCATCTATCTAGCTCTATTATTCAGAATCTCAGATCGATCACCCATTGCTCATCAACTCCTGGCTTCAATTCTGTTTCTTTGTCCTAGCTATCTCCGATCCTTTGGGATCTGTTCGTTCTTCATATATAAGTACAGTACAAAGGAACCCGTACGGGTAGCTCAGTTGGTCGAGTGGTGGAAGATTTGGAACAATGGATCAATGTCCGAATCCCCTCAGCGACCGAGTGGAGGTCACAGAACCTGAAATAAGACTGGGCCTCTGGTGCGCACGGGTGTATGAGCCTACTGCCATTCTGCTGACTGAGTCACCGTGACTAACCTCCCCACCATCCTGTCGGATCGGGGTGAGGAACTCCTGAGGTGGGAGATTCCACCCTTTTTTGGAATATTATATTTCATTACCAATATCGACATAATTTAAATATAATATTTGTACATTTGTTTAGCCATGTACGTATATCCGTTTACATATATGTAGTGTACCTAGTTTAACTTCTTATTTCTTCTTAACTTTAGCTTGATAGTTATTCGTGGGTCTTGATGAGACTATTTAACCATGTATGCATGAATCATATTGCTTATCAAGATCAATACATCAACATATCTTTCTCTACTATAACATATCTATCATATTAACGATTATTATACAAGTATGTGATTAGGAAACTGAAAATCATCCCTATGACTCTAGTAAGGGCATGGAATGAATTTAAATAAATAAACGGATATTTATGGTTGTCATGTTATTGTCACAAAAACTAACTTAAATAATACCAAATAATATATATAATATTACACACACATAAAAATAGAAAAGTTTATTATACACACATACTCGCGTTAATGAATATTAGCCGCTTGGATAAACATTGAAAAAAGAGATAATTCCCTAACTAGGACTAAAAGTTCTAGTAATTGTAAGAATAAGACTTCTGCTAAAGTGAGAAAAGGGTTTGAGGAATAAGCCTTGCTTTCGTTATGTGGGAGGAGTCCCATATTTATACAATAGTTGGTAACTCCCATGTTAAGAGTATTCCCTACGTACATGATAATTGAACAATAATAAACCTAACAATAATAGAAATAAACATTTACATGCAAGATACATTAATTCCGTACACTTAATGAAACCAAATTAATAGGAACTAGCAAGGCTTTTTGCAGCGGCAGCGCACTCCTTGGCAGTCGCCGTCAGTAAAGCCCTTGCCCTGGCACACCGTCCTACGGTTGCTGTGACGAAGACATGGCCCCTTGAACCGACCGCTTCCGGTCTCACACATCCTACCTTTCGCCACCATTATTCCGCCGCCTCCCATCTCGGTGGCCATGAAAAGCATCGCAAAGAGGAAGATAGCTGCGAAGGAACGAAGAGAAGGAGCCATTTTTGTGTTTGAGAAGAGGATAAAAAAATGCTACACATAATTTTTACTTTAAAATTAAAACATTTTTTCAATTTGGGGTGGACCAGAACCTAGGTTGACCCCCCTCCAGCTCCGCCCCTGCTGCTCTCATTCTCTCTCGCTTGCTCTCCTTCTCTCTCGGCTGCTCTCCTTCTCTCTCGGCTTCTCTCCCTGCTATTCTGGTGACTTCTTCTTTTATTTGCTATCAGTTCATATTTATTATAGCAAGAGAAGAAAAATAAAATAAAACCGAGCAAAAAGAAGCCGACGAGATATTAGGGAGAGCAGCAGAAATATAAGATGTAGAGCGGAGATAAGGGAAAGCCGATGAGAAAAATATAAGATGATGAGCGAAAGTGAAAATGAGTGGACGAGTGAGAAAAATAGAGTTTATAGATTAATTATTTGATGATTTGGATTGCAAGTGTATACTACAAACGGATAGTTTGGTTAGATCAACTATTTTAATGTTTCGACAGAAAAGTTGATGTACTTTAAATTTGAAATGGAAGATGAAATTTTACTTGGAACCATTTTCTCTTCGATGTATGGTATGCCACAAAAGACGGAAAAGAGCAATTTGATAAGGAAATTATGGAAGTGTTTAGAACTGATTTTGCTTCGGCTTCTTTTGTAAAGCAAAACCAATATCAGAATCACTCTTCAAAAGCTGGTCATCCTCAACTTCTAAAAAGTAAAAACTGATTCTAGGAGTATATTAGAGCATCATAATCACTTGTGCACTTTTATCCAAACATTCCAACTTCTGTTTCTACTCTCTGAAAGAGCAGAAACAGTGTTTTAAGAATGAGATCCAAACACATATAAAACAGGTACTTCTCTGATCACCCGCACTTCCGTTCACCGAAGATATATATTTTAAAAATAAGCCCACAGAAATGGCACTGAATTCAGTCTCTTTAATGATACCGATAAAATCCATCGATATCCCTTCTTCATCTTCTTCTCTACTTAAGCCTGCTGTTGTTGCCTTTCAATCTCCTTCTAGCATTTCTCCGCTTGGGACTCTAAATGGCTATTTGTCTGTGGGGAAAGGTAAGTTCAGTTTGGTTTAGCTTATCTTTTTTCTGTGGTCAATATTTCTTCATCTTCTCTTTTATTTAGGTGTCCGAATTATTAAATGCAAAAACTACCGCATCAACCCATTAAGATGTTTTTTTATCTTTAAGTGTGGTCTGGTTCGAATTGATCTATTTTGTTATATGCCTGATCTGGTTTGGTCTGAAATGTTTAAGTCTGGTCTGGTTTTGTCTGAACTTGTCTGGTCTGATAGATATCTTGTCTCTGTGTTTTTTAAATTGTTGGTCTAATAGATCTGATCTGATCTTATTTGGTCTGAGACTTAAAATAATCCATTTAAAATCATCCTTAGACAGCACGGCCACATTAGCCTTTCTTTTTTGTAAAGTTTTGGTCTGAGGTAGTTTAAGTAGCTCAGGACTTGGTCAGATTGTTGTTATGTGAAATGCTAAAGGTACCCCATTTTGGGTACCCCATTTTTACCCCACCCAATTATGTGGCCGCAAATGGTAATTTTTACCCAAATCATAAACCTGATAAGCCGAAATAGAAGTTAAAATAACAAATAATTAAACAGAAATAATTGGTTTCGCGCGCTAAATTATGTAATAAGCAGAAAAAATAAGGTTGAAGTTACTTTTCTGACTGTATTGGTTGAAGTTACTGTAGAGGATCGTATAATTAAACATAAAAGTAATTTTAAATTTAACATATAATTAAATATATGTTAAAAATAAACCTGATAAGCCATGATAAGCCAAAATAGAAGTTAAAATAACAAATAATTAAACATTATTAAAGTAGACGAAAGCTTAAAAATATGAGTAATTATTTTTAAATTAAAATAACAAATATTTATTAATGAAGTTGAATATTAAATATTACAAATAATTAAAATATAAGCCTAAACATAAAATTTTAAAATAACAAATATTTTAAAATGTTTAATTAAATGTTTAAAATAAGCCTAAAAAATTTTAATTAAACATTTTAATTAAACATTTTAAAATTTTAACAATCTGGCAGTAATTATTTTTAAGCTTTCGTCTATAAAATAACAAATAATTAAACATTTTAAATTTTCGTATAATTTTTATTTTATTTATTAATAACAAATATTTTAAAAATAATTTTTTTATGAATCAGCAGAATCAGCCAATACAGCAACTTCAGCCGGAACTTCATAAAGTTCACCAGAATTAGCCAATTCAGCCAATTTTAGTGTTACCAAACGGGCTCTATATAAGAAGACGAAAGCTTAAAAATAAAAATATTTCACCTTTAATAATTAAACATAAAAGTAATAAAATAATTTAGGAGGAGAGGGAAGGGGAGGGGTCATATATAAATGTCCGAAATAGAAGTTAAAATTTAGGATCTTCAAATATTATTCAAATTACTACTCCCTATAACCTAATATTTACATATTTCGAAACTACTCTAAATGTTCATCAATCTAGAGATTAGAATAGGGTTGGAGTGATCGCGGAATTGTGCATAAGATATTCAAATTGGGACAAAAGTATTGCGCAATACAGAGTATTTATGGAAGCCAACTATGATTTTAAATTTTAGTGGTGTTTAAAATTGAAAGGCATGCCTCATATATACTTCGTATAACATTATGTCAAGCCATCCTAGTTTTTTAACTATAAGCCATCCTAGTTAATGTGCAATTTTTTATTATTTATCACGCTCTATAAATATATTATATATAAAAAAGGCCTATTCCATGAAAATACTCTCATAACTACTAAGAATCATTTAGGCTCTCGGTATTGGGAATCACCTCCTTCACATATATCAACAGGGGCGGACCCAGGAAAGTCATCTTGGGGGGACGAAAATTTTTTTGGGGTTCAAAATATTTTTTGGAAGAGCAAAAATCATTTTTCGAATATATGTACACTAAAAAAATTTTTGTTGGGGGGCGGTAGCCCCCGGGTCTCTACTACGGTCCGCCCCTGTATATCAAGCAAGGGAAATGATCATAAGTAGTGCGGAGTCAGTAACACAGAATTGAAGGATCAAAGCTTGCAAATTTACACTAGGGGAGGGGGCTAAAATTCATATTTCAACATAATTGGTAACTAATTCTTGACTGTATTCAATCTTTTTATCTAGTATGGTCCAGATATAGTATATAGCCCCACTTGAGTTACCCCAGCTAAATCTTGAACTCCATTAAAGTCATAATATGATTAAAGGGATCTACTCAGTCCTATAAAGAAAGCAATTTTGTAACATGAGCTGAAAAGGCACCCTCAGTCTCATGATGGAAAACCAATATTACTTGTGCAGAGCCAAAGATTTGGAGAACAGTTGTCTCAACTGCATTGGCAGCTGCAGTGATCACAATGGGACCCAATGAGATGTCTGCCATGGCTGATCTCAACAAGTTTGAAGCGGCACAACGTGGGGAATTCGGGATAGGATCAGCTGCGCAGTTTGGTTCTGCAGACCTCAGGTAGAATGCTCTTTTCGGCCGTCTTCAAATAGTTTAGTGCTCGTTTGGTAACAGTTTTGGTTCAAATTGCTGAAATGACCGAAGTTGTGGATGATAATTTTGATGAAACTGCTGACTTATGAAAACAGTACATCTTTTATTTCTTTGTTATATATATTGAAATTTTATATGAAAGACAAGGCTGAGATGTGCATCTTTATTTCATCCGAAAGAGAAGATCACGCCTTTACTTTTATTATTATTACTGTTAATCAATGTAGTGCTCGCAGTAAATCATCTAACATGGTGTTTGGTAAAACTGTGGAAGATCAGCAAAAAGTAGTTACTAAACTGTCACTATGTCAGCTTGTTTCTTGTCTTTGTATCTTTTAACTTCTTGTCTATGTTATTATCCAGAAAAGCTGTTCATGTGAATGAGAATTTCAGGTAACTCTCTGTTCCTCTTTTATAACTTTGAACTTCAATTTGGGTCGCTACTCCCTACAGGCTACAAAGAAAATAGAATATCAATTTAATGAATTGACGCTTAACTTAGCATGTTACATATCGCTTTCTTTGAATTGAACTCAGCATCTGTGAAACCATGTAATCAATGATTCCTGGCTGTGATTAGTTAGGCTTGTTTAGGCTGCAAGAGCTTTTTAAATGAAATAAGTTTCTACTCCGATCATTTTTAACATTGGAGGTAGAAATGAATTTCTACCTCTAATCATTGGAGGTAGAAATGAATTTCCGATCATTTTTAGCAGAAAGGTAGAAACCAAGAAGTGTTTGTTAATCTTAAAGAAACTATTTTGGGTTTCAAGGGTTTCCCAAAATTTAGGATGTTGAAAAAGTATGTCAAAGACTTTCTTTAGTTAAGCACACAATATTTAATGTTAATTCCTCTTATGTTATCATGATTAAAAGGTATTTTTAGAATTTCTCTCAAACTAATAAAATGTAGTAAATGTCAAGCAAATATAGTGTTTGTTGTTTTACTTCAAACTCTCACCATCATCATCATTACCCCAGTGCCGCAAAGGCTCCCACCTACGGTGGGGTAAGGGGGTCGGATGTACGCAGTCTTACCCCTGTACTAAAGCACAAAGAGACTGTTTCCGAATGACCCGTAGTGAAAATCGCGTCGAAAATTGCATAGGCTGACCGTTACTTCATAACAAAGAAGCGCAGACAGTTTAGTGAGCCATTTTGCTTTATTCCATCATATTTTACTTCAAACTCTATCTTGCAAAATTTATATGGAGTATTTGAAAAGCTATAGGAATAAATGCGTACTTGAAAAACTATGCAAATATATTTGCAATACTTTCTGGTGTTAGATAAATGGAAGGCTCTCCTACTCTATGGATAATGATAAACGAGTTGAATTTGCTGATACAGAAGAGCAAATTTCACAGCTGCTGACATGAGAGAATCAGATTTTAGCGGATCAACATTCAATGGGGCATATCTTGAGAAAGCGGTTGCTTACAAAGCTAATTTCACAGGTACATATCACAGTAAAAAAATGGGCATACCAATGAAAAGGACAGTGCAAGAAATGTTAGAGGGATCACTTGGAAGAAAATTAAATACTATCTATATTGGTGTTAATGAAAGCTTTTCCAAGTAGTTTGAGTCATTTTGTGTAAATGATTAATCTTTTGATAGGTGCGGATTTGAGTGACACATTGATGGATCGCATGGTAAGCAATACACCAGAAATTGTATTATTACTCTAATCAAATTCACATGGCCTTAAAAGACAAAGGGTTATGAACACCTTTTTGAGCAGGTTCTGAATGAGGCCAATCTCACAAATGCTGTACTTGTTCGATCAGTTCTTACTAGGAGTGACTTGGCAGGTGCCATAATTGAAGGGGCTGATTTTAGTGATTCAGTTATTGACCTCCCACAAAAGCAGGTGTGTGTACAAGTATAGCCAGTATATGCCTCACATCAATTTTACCATTAACCTTAGTGTGACTCATGCCATCGTGATAAAACCCAAATTTTAGCATGGTAATAGAGCCCACTAGAATGACTAATTTGGTCTAAGTAAGACCAAGAAAATGAGCATTCAAACTTCAAAACTGCTTTGGTTTAATCAGTCCACATCTTGGAAGGGTATGCTTAGTTGTTAACTCATTGCACACCAGCCAATTAGAATTCTACAAAGTTATGTATTATGTCTTGAGCTACGCTTCTTGGCCGATACATTTTAGAATGAAATCCTAAATCTTAATACTATTTCAGAGCGAGTTAAGTTCTACAGAGTCTTTTAACATACTAAAAGATTCGGAAATATGGCACAAAGTCATCTGAAACTAACCAAATATAAAGATGCAAACTTACATATTACGTACTTGCCTAGATGCTAGGTTCTAGTCTATCACATCCTAAGATAATTTCTCATACCTATGGCTTATAACTTGGATGGTTCATGGTTACCATATTTTCATAAAAACAAAGCAAATTATGCTAGTTATTGTTCTATGATGGTATGTTGGTCTAGGCTCTTTGTAGGTATGCAAGTGGGACGAATCCGGTGACAGGGGTTAGCACCAGAAAAAGTCTTGGTTGTGGCAATGGCCGAAGAAATGCTTATGGCAGCCCATCTTCCCCTTTGCTAAGTGCTCCCCCGCCCAAACTGCTTGATCGCGATGGATTTTGTGATGAAGGCACTGGACTTTGCAACTCCAAGTAACTGATCTCAAACTGAAAACAAAAGTTCTGTAAATTTTGCATAGCTTTTCACCATAACTATGCAAGTATGGTTCATCTCCATGACTTAGTTTTTGAGTGAGAAAGAGACACGATCCTTGGATCAAAATGGTCATCACTTATTATTTGGTTATTTGATATCTTAGACAATCATTTTGATAATCTGCTTTCTTGTTTTTGCGTTTCACCATAAAACAATAATTCAAGCTAACATTTATTGGTCTAAATAAGGCATCATAAGAGTTCTTAGTTTTTTTTTGCTTTAACCAAGTGAAAGATGTCATTGTTTATGCAATTGAGAAAAACCTAAACTATGTTACACTAGTTTATAGTGGTGACTAGGTGAGACCGTGAGACTCGATTAAAAACCTTTCTCAAGTCTCAACAGCAGTTAGATTAAACTGCCCTAAATTGAAAAACACAATGCCTTTTAGATTAAACTGCCCATAAATAAGAAAATTAAGGGCTAAAATTACAGTTGTATTCGCTTATCATTATCAGCTCCTTAATTCCAATTTCCAACTATTTTGCAAACATTGCCTTTTACTACTCTACCATACTAATTAGTGGTGGACTCGGTTCGGGCCGGGCCTGGTTCGGGCCTTGAACCGGCCGGGTCTCGGTTCATGGAAGGCAGGCCCGGAACTGGCCCGGATAACCCCGGGTCCGGTTCGGTTCGGGTCACCCGCCCGGTTCACGGGCCGGGCCGCCCGCCGGGCCGGGTCTTTTAAATTTTTTTTAATTATATATTATATTATTAGAATAATTCTTATTACAATTACAATATATTATATTATAATTCAAGTATATTTATTTCAAATAAGAAGTACAATTGAGAATTGGGATGAATTTAAAAAATGTAATACATTTTGTAATAAAAAATCAATCGGAATCTCCACCTTCGGTTGTTTCCTCCATAAAGTAGCGGGTGGGAGCGATGGTAATTTCTTAAATTTTTCGTTGAGCCTTCAACCAATCGTGAAAGCAAACTAGTGTCTCAAGAGAGGTCGGGTTCAACCTCGTTCTATATTTAATGAGCAATGTAGCAATTAACTAATATTAATATGAGAAATGTAACAATTAAGTAGTTTAACTAATATTAATATGACAAATGAAACAATTAACTTTAACTCTTTTAACTAATATTAATATGACAAATGAAACAATTAAGTAATTTAATAGATAAATGAGAATTCTAACAATTAACTACTTTTATAAAATGTATGAATGTGTATACGTCTATATCAATGAGTATAAGTATATATAGTATATATAATGTGAATATATTATAAGTAATATATAATATAATGTATAACTATATATAGTATATATAATATAATGTGTAAAGAATTATAATATGAATGTGTATAAGTATATATTTATAAGTAGATAATTAATATATAAGTAGATATAATAATTATATAAATTATATATATGTAGAAAGAATTTGGAGAAGATGAAGAATGAAGATGATTGAATATGAGAGATTAAGAGAATAGAGAATTTAAAGAGTAGGAAGAGTTGTAGAAGAAGAGGTGTAAAAAATGTATAGAAAATAGGAGTATAAATAGGTTTTTTTTGTATACCCCACCCCCGCCCCCACCCCCTAACCCCCCAGACCCCCCCTCCTATGCTCCCAACGGCTATGGAGCCTTCTAGTATTTTTTTTTTTAAATGTGACCGTTGCGGGCCTGCAGCCCGGACCGGGCCCGGGCCGGCCGGGCCGGTTCACTGAAATGCAGGCCCGGGACCGAACCGCTTGAAGACCGGGCCGGGTGGCCCGAACCGGGCACCAACCGGTTCACCGTAGGGATGGATTCGGGCCGGGCCTAGGCCCGATCGGGCCGCCGGTTCGTATCACATGGGCCCGAGACCGGCCCGAGGGTTGGACGGGTCCGGTTCGGGCCGGGCCACCCGCCCGGGTCACCGGTCGGGCCACCCGCCGGGCCGGTTAAATATTTTTTTTTTTAATTTATATTTTATACTTTATAGTTTTATACAAGTATTAAAAAACAAACTTCAAGTGCATTTATTTCAATTGAAATAGGAACTACATTTGAAAATTAAATAGGAACTATAATTTTTTTTAATCGGAATCTCCGGCATAGGTAGAGCCATCCTCTGTTGTAGATTCATCCATAAAGTGTTGGGATGGAGTGATGTCAATTTCTTGAGCTCTACGTGCTGCTTTCAACCAATCGTGGTAGCATATAAGCATCTCAAGAGATTCAGCGCTCAACTTCGTTCTGGTTTGTGTTAGAACATTGCCGGCCGAACTAAATTCTTCTTCCACGGCAACCGTTGAAACCGGCATTGATAGCACTTGCTTAGCCATCTTTGCTAAAACCGGGAACATTCTTTCTTTTCCCTTCCACCAGTCTAGTACGTCAAAATCATCATCTTCTTCAAAATCAACATCATAAGTTAAATACAAAGAAATCTCATTAATTGTGCTTTGTTGTGTAGCGGGAGTTGATTTTGTTTTTTTTAATAAGATTGGCAAACGTAGATTTGAAAATTGATTTTCCTTTAGATGATGTTTGTGTCGGGGGAGGGGGCGCATTGCCATATTGTGCATGAAAGTCATTGAATAATGCATAAAATATATCACTAACCTCGTTGTATTCTTTTTTCGGATCAATTGGATTGTCCTCATACATTGGCAATGGACCAAAAAAAGCAGCATAATAATAATTCAAACATTCTTCTAAAGAACCAAGTCTAAAACGAGGATCGAGAACAAAGGCAATACCATAAATATGCGGAATATGTGAATAATATTTTAAAAACTTTTCCTTCATAAAACCAGCAAAATAACTCACATAATCAACATTCTCAAAATTTGAAAAAGCACCGGCGAGATTAACAGCTTCACGAATAAATTGGTTTGAGGTAGGTTTATAAACATGACTAAGAGTTTCAGTTGCATTATTAAAATATATCAAAGCATTACAATTTTTTTCACAGGTGTCGATCTCAGCCGAGTTTATAATATAGTTATCATATTGTTTCATAAAAGCAGGAAAATGTTGTTTATATCTAAGAAGAACTCCAATTAACTTATAGGTACTATTCCAACGAATAGACAAATCTTTTGGAAAAGCCACATATCTCTCACCTCTTTCTATCAAATAATCATGTCATTTTTTCCTAAGTTGTCCATTACCCCAAATACGTCTAATCCCCCCCTTGACTACCTCCAACGATGCTCCCAACGCTTTTAGACCATCTTGCACACATAAATTTAGAACATGACATGCACATCGTTGATGAAAAAATCTACCCATCAAAGAAGTAGAACCACACAATTCACGCAATCTAGGAATAACAGCAGTATTATTAGTAGCATTATCAAAACCAATAGCAAACACCTTATCAATTAAAATACTCATTAAATTCACGGAAAGCAAGAACACGTTTATGCATATGCCAATCATTATCAATATAATGTACAGTCAGACCCAAATAATGTAAATTATGATAAGTATTCTCACATATGTCAGAACATACAGTAACACGTCCATCAAAGTTTGCAAAATAATTTTGTAACCTTACCTTTTCCGCACCATAAAGCCTTGAAATTTCTTTTTTAACCGTTTTGCGACTATAACCTCTATATTGCGGATTTAAACAAGTTTGTGCATAATCACGAAAAGCAAGACTTTCAGAAAACAAATAAGGCAAATTTTCTTCAACAAGTAAGTTAGCCATACCTGTCAAATTTTGTGCATCATTGTATGAGAAATTACCAAAAGCTTGTTGGTTATTTGCAAACCTCGATATTTGCGTTTGCTTCCCCGTTCCGCCACCTAATTTTGCATACTCCACCGGGTGTTTGGACTTAAGGTGTCTTGTGGCGGATCCGTATCCGCCGGAAATCCCCAAGCTATAGTTTTTCTTGCACCAATTGCAAGTTGCGGTCCAATTCCCGGTGTTCGGGTCCTTCCACTTAGAAAAATTATTAGCCATTAATTCAGATTTACTTTTTTTTGTACCTGTTTGGGATGAGGCTGCTTGGTCGGCGTCATGGCTGCCGCCACCCTCCTCCTCGTCGTCGTCGTGGCTCTCCGGAATTGCTTCCTCCACATCGTCGTCCTCGTCCTCGAGCTCTTCTTCGTCAATGGTCCTCGGTTGGTCTTGAAAAAAGCGGGAATTATGTCGGTGCAATTCTTGTTCTAGTTGTTCGTCGGTCATCGCATCACCATCCCTCCTTACGTAACCCGTATCAAAATCATCTCGACTTTGAGATGAAGAGCCGATATGTGATTTACCTTTGCGGGATCTCTTCCTCGCAAGCTCTTTCGTTCGGTTGCGCTCGAGGTTACCCATATCAACCGAATATCTAGGACGATCCATCTAAAAAACATAGCGATTAATAAAAAAATTGTAAAAAACTAATTCACTATTTATGTAACTATTAAATCGAGTTATAGTAAATTAAGTAGTGAATTAACTAGTTTTGTGTACAACATATTTTTTAAACTAGAGTCAAATGTAGCAATTAATAAAAAATTGTAAAAAACTAATTAACTATTTATCTAACTATTAATTCGAGTTATAGCAAATTAAGTAGTGAATTAACTAGTTTTGTGTCCAACATATTTTTTAAACTAGAGTCAAATGTAGCAATTAATAAAAAATTGTAAAAAACTAATTAACTATTTATCTAACTATTAATTCGAGTTATAGCAAATTAAGTAGTGAATTAACTAGTTTTGTGTACAACATATTTTTTAAACTAGAGTCAAATGTAGCAATTAATAAAAAAATTGTAAAAAACTAATTAACTATTTATCTAACTATTAATTCGAGTTATAGCAAATTAAGTAGTCAATTAACTAGTTTTGTGTACAACATATTTTTTAAACTAGAGTCAAATGTAGCAATTAATAAAAAATTGTAAAAAACTAATTAACTATTTATCTAACTATTAATTCGAGTTATAGCAAATTAAGTAGTGAATTAACTAGTTTTGTGTACAACATATTTTTTAAACTAGAGTCAAATGAGGCAATTAATAAAAAATTGTAAAAAACTAATTAACTATTTATCTAACTATTAATTCGAGTTATAGCAAATTAAGTAGTGAATTAACTAGTTTTGTGTACAACATATTTTTTAAACTAGAGTCAAATGTAGCAATTAATAAAAAATTGTAAAAAACTAATTAACTATTTATCTAACTATTAATTCGAGTTATAGCAAATTAAGTAGTGAATTAACTAGTTTTGTGTACAACATATTTTTTAAACTAGAGTCAAATGTAGCAATTAATAAAAAATTGTAAAAAACTTATTAACTATTTATCTAACTATTAATTCGAGTTATAGCAAATTGAGTAGTGAATTAACTAGTTTTGTGTACAACATATTTTTTAAACTAGAGTCAAATGTAGCAATTAATAAAAAATTGTAAAAAACTAATTAACTATTTATCTAACTATTAAACAAGAGTCAAATGTAGCAAATTAACTAGTAATTAAACAAGTGTAAATAATAGAATAATTTCGTACCTCTTTCGAACTTTCGGTCTTTCGGATGGGAGTAATAGAATGACTTCAAATTAATTAGATATAATTCCAACTATATTAATAGATATAATAAATATATAAGTAATATATAATTAGATAACAAATATAAGTAATATAATACTATTTATATCTATTTATAGTTTATATAAGTAGATAATTAATATAAACTATAAATAATAAATATAATATATTGGAGAATGGAGAATAAGAGAATTAGAGAGTAGAGAGTTAAGAATAGGATTTAGGAAGAATTGGAGAAGAGATATGAAAAAATGTTTAAGATTAGGAGTATTTATAGGTTTTTTTACCCCCCACCCCCCCCACCCCCCCACCAGCCAACCCCCCGGACCCCCCCTTTACCCCACCCAACGGCTATATAGTCGTTTGGGTTGTCCCCAGCCCCACCCCCAACGGCTAGTAGCCCAAGAGCCCAAACAATTTTTTTTTTTTAAAATAAGACCGGACCCGGGCCCGGGCCCGACCCGGCCGGGCCGGGTCACATTATTCCAGCACCGAGCCTGCCCCACCCCTTCCCACCGGTTCAGGCCCATACCCGGTCCCGGATCGCCCGACCGGGCTGGTCCCGGCCCCGCACAGTACCGGGCCGGGCCGGGTGGCCCGAACCGAATCCAACCCTAGTTCACCGGGCCGGTCCGGGCCCGCACAGTAGCGGGCCGGTCCGGTTCCAGGCCGTTTGGCCCGGCCCGAGTCCATCCCTAATACTAATAAAAAAGGATTACCGCATTGGAAATTAGTGCACTGCTCATTCATTAAATTCACACCTTGCATAATTGCATTGATCTCATAAAAGAATGTTGTAATGGAAGCAATAAAATACAACTGGATGAAGAAGGTTACATGTTAAGGGTGACAACTAACAAGAATAGTATGAACAATTAATTCACTACTACGTCAATAAATAAAATACAATGATACATCTTTCAATCAAAATTACAAAACCTCAACACTAGTAACCAAAGCTGAACTGCCGCATGCATGCAAACACAAAACATGCATCACAACGATAGATTCTTCTTCTCATAATAAGAACAAAGAAACCATTGCAGATATCATCAGCACCATCAGTTTCCGTTCATTGCCCCAAGTTGCATCTGATATGTCTTGTTTCCTAATGAACAAAATGCAAAAAGCATCAATGTGATTGAAAAGAAAATCTTGGAACTAGGATGAACACAAAAAGTGAAAATTCAGTGAAAGGGTGTGTGAGGTTTGTTTATATACATACTTCTGTCTACTCTGAAGGGCGCCACAGTAGAGGACATTTTCTGGGATCGGCATCTCAGTCTTGTTTGTCATCTCTGGATTAACAACTCTAATGTATGTTTCTTGACCAAGATACCAAGAATCAAGGTTTTCAGTTCTCAGGTTCCAAATTCCAACATTATCAAGCGAGATTAAGATTGATGTCCATGCTCCCGGGTAAACCTACATACCATAATAAACCCTTCAAAGTCATCTACTCCATTCATGCCCACAATCTATATACAATAAAGTTCCCTTTCTCACCCCCCTTAAGAACCAACATGTAAAGATATTGGATAATTCCTCCTAGCAGGATGTGGGCTTTTAGAATAGAACAAACTGCTATTGGAGATTTGGACATGCACAAGTTTCCAATTACCTGGGCTGTAGCACGGGCAATTCCATCCCACTTGTTGTAAGTTCCCCTGCTATTCTCTGTCCACTCACCATAATCCATCCTGTGAAAGTATTAACAGCAAGTAGAGGTTTCACAAGTTTGCAGTTGAACGTTACATGAGGAAACAAACAGAGCTTTAGGAGTCATTAGATCATTACCCAACCACAAAAAAGGCATATCCACTCAAATGATAGGTATGCACCTTTGTATCATTATTCTGCAGTATTACTTCCATAAACCCTCTATAACTACCATTTATCACAGAAGTCCCGATACGAGGTAGTCCCGCAACTGGCGGTTGGGTGGGAAAGTCAAGCTTGTACACCCCCTTCAACTTAAACCAATCAGCAAGCCTGATTGGTGTCTTGGGGGCTTCAAATGAAATCCCATTGATTGTCGCTCTCTGTTTCCCACTAATCTTTATTGGTGGCTTGTTCTTTATCCTGTACACTTCAGTCACATTTATCGAACCATATCTGAAAGAACCTTGGGGATTTGGACGGGCGCCACTGGCAGTCACATTCCACCTGTACAATAAAAATAATAAAACACAAGAAGTATTAGTGTGCATAAACAGAGCTAAATGCATCTTGGCTGAATTTGAAGAACTTCCTGAAAAGAAAGTGTTTGGTAAAATCGTTTTTAAGGAGTTAAGTAGCGTTTATGAAACAGGGCCTTGCAATGCATACTTCACCTTAGAAGAAAAGGATATGAAATTGGCAAGTTGGATTGCAAAGGCAATCCCAACAATGTTTGGGCTCAGTCGCATGGAAGTTGGAACTAAGGTCCCGTTTAGTAAATGTTATTTGGCTGAAATGATTGGAATCTGCTTTATTTTCAGGACGTAAAAACGTTTGGCAAACAAGTAAGTCAGAAGCCCAGTTCCTCGTTCAGCTCACTTTGCTCATCCTATTGATAAGCAAAATAAGCCAAACAAGGCTGTCAAACTGAGCCTCATAATGTCAACTGTATTCTAAAATCCATATTTACACGAATTCCATACAAGTATGTTTGGCAGCCATTGATAGTATTTGAAATTTTATATAAAAAATGAACATAATAATGATAATATGCTATCTTATATAACATTTCAATTGTCTGTTTATATTATTATATATAGACATTCTATTTATCTAAATATAAGTTAAGTCCTCCGAAACCCTCCATCCAAAGAGACCCTTGCACAAATATTCATAATATAAATAATAAAGTAGTTGTAACTGATGGTTTGCATCTCATAACTACGCAGTATATAATATGAAAATGAGAACAAGTGGAATTTAGCAAACACTACGAGTAGATGTATGAGTTGATTAATGCAGTGTGTTTAAAGAAGAAACAGACCTTATAGATCGTGCCTGGTTCATAGAGAAGGTTTTATCATATTGATCTTGTGGTGCGTCTGGGAGAGGACCATGAGCCGCCCCCTTTGAATTAGTGTACTTCAGAATGGCAACCCCAGTGACTTTTCTCCATAGAGTTTCATTTACAAACCTCGCACTTGCAACAATGTAGTAATCAGAACTTGCATTCTGATCAGTGGTCAACAAAAATGAGTATGTTTGCCCAACATGGATATCTAAGCTGGTATAGTTCTGCTGAACTGTGTATGATCCCTCTGATTCAGCTAGAAGCAGGTTATGGCTTTGGATTCTGAAGTTCAAACTCGTTGATATGCCCACATTAGTTACACGCAGTCGGTATGTTTTGCCTACAGAAATGATAAATAAATCAGCCGTGCATAAAGATAACTCATTGAACAAATATTACATGGAAATATTACATCAAATATTACTCCCTTCATCCCAAATGAAGATATATAAACTTCCTTTTTAGAAGAAAGAAATAGTCTCAATCAAGTTAAGTTATTTTATACCAACAACGAGCATACAAACTTCGAAATTGATACAAACTTTGCGGCACTGGGGTAAATGAAAATGAAAATGAAATGAACAGTCAAACGTCGATGTTGAAGACCGTGAAAGTCCAATTTTGAATTTAATTGAGGGACAGAGATAGTATATGTTAATGAGTATAATTACTTACTAAAGAACGGGTACACAAACTTTAAGATTCATATTATTTATTGCCACCGTCTTGTGGGTTAGTAGTAAGTCACCTCATACCGGCTAAATATTGGGCTACTCAACATTGAGCACACGACATATGAGATATTGGCCTGTTTAACAATGCACAGACTTGGAAGATTGGTAATGCTTCATCAAGCTACCGTCTTACAAAACATGTTCAGTCATCTCATATCAGCTACATATCGTTATCTAATCAACAACGAGCATACAAACTTCGAGATTGATATGTTTTACCAAGCCACTATGTTGCAGGGTATATGCCAACTCATCTAATACCAGACAAATATAGAGACTCAATGATACATAAGGCCAGTGTTGTCAATCCCATATGGCAGAGCGGAGCGCCCGACCCTAAAACGCTATAGCAGTATAGTATGACCACTATCAAATTATATGCAAAATGCAAACTTCGAGATTGATATGTTTTACCAAGCCACTATGTTGCAGGGTATATGTCAACTCATCTAATACCAGACAAATATAGAGACTCAATGATACATACGACCAGTGTTGTCAATCCCATATGGCAGAGCGGAGCGCCCTACCCTAAAACGCTATAGCAGTATAGTATGACCGCTAGAGTGAATATATATGCAAAATGCAAATTATACGTATGCATATAATTACATTGCATACACATCATTTTCATTTACCCCAGTGCCGCAAAGGCTCCCACCTACGGTGGGGTAAGGGGGGGTCGGATGTACGCAGTCTTACCCCTGCACATTGCATACACATCAGATGAAAAATATGATCTATGTTACAAGTACCAAACATCTTGAGGAGTGCTACAGAAGATGCTACTTAGAAGAAGCAAAGAAGAGGAGTGCAGCAGAGGTTGTTCTTATAGAAGATGAAGTAGGAGAAGATACTACTCAAAAGAAGCAAAGAGGGGGAGTGTAGCACACGTGATTCTTGTAGATGAAGTAGCAAAGGTCGTTCTTGAAGAAGAGAACCAGGTATGAGTCGCAACAGTATAGCAGAGAAGAGAAGACATGGTTTCAAATGGTGGAACGGGTTTTAAAGGTTTTACGTACATAGAAGGCTTTTAAGCTGGTTACCATTTATCTCTAAGAGTCTACTTTACCCTTCATACCACTCTGAAAACAAAACTTTCTGAGAAAACCCCTAACTTGCTTATAAGATTTTCGCTAACTCAACTATGCACACACGAAATACAAGGTTGGTATTCAAATGTAAACAGACAAACTCAGATACAAGAATGGGCGTACCCAGGGACCACGGGGCGTGCCTTGGCGCACCCCAATTTTGATTAAATTCTTTACTTTTTCATGTAAAAAAATCCCATTTGAAAATTTGTATAAATTTATATGGATGAACTTTTTATCCACCCTAATTTTCTGCCCTTGCTATGCCACTGGATACAAGGCATTGGTCTGCTCAACAACGAACATAAGAATCTGAAGATTGATATGATTCATCAAGCCAAATATAAAGACATAAAGTTGCATATAAAGCATTGGGCTACTCAGGCATGCACACATTAACTCAAAGACCTCTCGATCATATCTTGCATATTTCATTTTTTGAAAGCCTTGGAGGGAACCTGGTCAAACAGATTTTGCATTGGTAAGTGTGCTTCAACTAGCCACCATCTTGTGTGGTATGTTAAGATGTCTCATTCCCCCCAAATATAAAGAGACAAACTCAAATACATTCATTGGTGTAGCCAACAACGGACACACAGACTTGAAGATTGATATGTTTCAATGTGCCGCCATCTTGCAAGGCATGTTAAATCATATAATAACGACCAATTATAAAGGAACGAACTCATATATAAGGCTTTGTCCTACAAAACAATGAGTCACAAACTCAAGGAACTGGCATGGAACTCTAACTCGTAGTAATCCTTATTAGATTCCTTTTTTAGGGTGGGACTTAACCCTTAGTAAAACCAAAAGATATATATATAAAACATAGTTAAAAGTTAAAGATTTCTAATACCTTGCTAAATTAACAAATTTATTTAAGTTAAATATACTCATTTTTTTGGGAAGGACGGCGTGAAATTTGTTGGTTGAATGGAGTTTAGTGCTTATAGCCGTATTATAATACGCCATTTTTAACATGGATAAGTTGACTGATTGATCAACTACAGCAATAATATAGATGCCATAATTTGAAATAAAACATTATTAATAGAAATAAATACTAAAATAAATAAAGAAATATGTAGTAAGATTGAACAACTAATAAAATTCATTGAATTTAAAACAAATGTTTTATATTCTTTTACATTTGATCTCGTACACGGACCCAAACTCGAAATATTAAAGGCCTAAAAAGCAAGGATTTTCGTCACATACCAGGCCGGACATTGATGGTCTCATAGTCAATACCATCAGGAACGAAAGAACTATTGTATCTGTAAGGCCCTTTTCCATTAATAAGGACACCGTCGGGCATTCCAAGGCTTTTCCCATCATCAAGTGTTTTCCTTAGAGCCTAAAGTAAAAAATGATAGCAGAATATAACAGAATTTCCTAAACCTCAGGTCAAAGGTTCAATCTGAAAAAGACAACCTCAAAATTATACGAACCGTGTGATTTCTAGTGTACCAATCACCAATCAAAATTGTGATGTCCCCGAAAGGGGTACTAAAAGGCAATGGAATTGTATCTCTGTTGTTAACAATGAAACTACCAAAGCCTCCTGCTGCTCTTTGAAAATTCAAGGAAGGGAAGTAAAAGAAACTTCCAATCTGGTCTTTCACTTGAAAGTTGTATGTCCAATTCCACTTTGATGGAATTGGACAGTTTGTACCAACCAGCCCATCTTGCCAAGAATTCTTCCTCATTTGAATACCGGACCTAATCCCCACCCCCAAAATAAAAGTCAAATAACTTATTTCCTGAAAATAGAAACGAATCTCCCGATTTTCAAAAAAGAAAAAAATCTCCCATGAGTTTTAGAGTGAAAAAGCATACCAATGCATTAGGAGGTCTTCATCCAATTTGTTCTTTACATTGACGACAACATTGTTGTTAGTGGTCACATTGATAGCAGGTCCTGGAAATTTCCCATTAATAGCAATAACCTGGAAAAAGATTACACATTGCACAATACACATGTAAAGTTCAAGAAATGCTAAAAGCTCAAAACTTTACCACCAAAAGTCAACAGATCTACACCCAACACCCCAAAATTAAAAGTCCTGAGGAGAACCCATGCTCCATAACAGCCAAATATAGCATATAAACAGACTCCAAGAAAGAAATCATTCAAAAGGGTTTTTCTATATATAAAAATGGATCTTAATCACATACCTGTTGTTCCACACCAAGAGGAGAAGCAGTGATGTAGGAAACTTCGAAGTCATAGAAGGTATATGGATCCTCAGCGGAAGAGAAGCCCAGAAGCAGGGAAATGCCGAGGAGCAGCAGCATCATTATCATACCGCCGTTGGAAGCCATTGATAATGCTTCAAAGTTTAGAGCTCCGTAAAGGCAATAAACAAAAGGTCTTTAGCTTTTGCCTTTGTGCGAACTGTTTACATTATCAGATGTGGTGTAAGGGGAAGAGCGAAGGAGGAAGAAGAAAAAGACTGGGAGTGGGGGGTTGTAAAGTGTGAATATATTTACTTAGACTTTATTTATTTTAGACTGCCAACGGCTCTAAAGACTTGATCTCTGATTTCGGCAAGAGGAGCTTAGCTTGAGGTCTTTGTCGGCTCGAAATGCCTAAAAAAATCATTAGCCTTAACTGTAAGTAATAATGTATCCAGCGTAAGGAAGGACGACTACAGCGTGGAAAGGGGAAAAAAACATTATCCTGGACAGGCTGTTGTCCCACTGTATTTGCGAATTTTCTGTAAATATTATTCTTCTAGATTATGTTTTTATTTAGAATGTTATATGAAAAAAATCAACCTATATTACTCCTGAAAAAGTGTTCAATAAAAAGTGAATTAATAACGTACTACATATTAATAATAATAATTGTGTTCAAAATTTACAATGTAGTCACTACGAAATGACTTAATAACTATTAGTTACAATAAATGTGACACAATAACTACTAGTTACAACAATTGTGTTCAAAGATGAAATAAAAATAAAGTTCGTTTGATAATATTAATTTTCAGTTTATCAGTTAATTTTTCTACTACATATTCAATTTTTTATTTCACGCTTTGAGTTGTTCAATAATTAAAATAATTAAGATTCAAGTTATTTTTGTAGCTAAAATTACTCTAGAGGATCGTTTTCGCCATTTTTTATCTATGTTTTCTTTATTTTATTAATAAAATGTATTGAAATATATTTTTCCATTGGTTCGGTGTATTCGCCAATTCAGCTAGTCCAACCAAAATTTCATTAATATCAGGGAAAATGCTAGCTAGCTACAACTAGTTATAACTTCAATCAATTTTGTCGTTACTAATTAAATAGTCATTTTTATTGATTTCTTATGAAAATTAATACGGAGTATTTTTGTAGATTGAGGTTATTCAGCCAATTTTAATATTTGTATTCAGGAAAATGGAAATTTGTCCACCCGATTTCCATTGATAAATTATCTACACTTACTTTCATATCAGTCTTGAAATTCCATCCTATTTTCTTTGAAAAAAATATTTACTCCGCCTCAAAAATCTTCTTTCCACTTTCTTTTGAGATGTCTCAAAAATTTATTCTTATTTTCAATTATGAAATGATTTTTCTGCCAAAAAAAATTATGGAATGATTTTGTTGCCAACATTCATGTACATTTTTCTTAGTCAATCTCAATCATGTATTTTCATTCTATTCTTACATTCTTAATGTGTTCAATTTATTTCATTTGCCTCTAATTAAACTTTAACAAATAATTTACGTCTGCTTAATTACGTCCCTGATGTTTATTTTAGGGATGGGGCGATGGATGGAATCTATTTATCCCTTTTAAAACAAAAGTTAATAATTATCAGGCAGTTTTTCATTTTTGAAAAAATAGTGTAGAGACCAAAGGAATATTAAAGAGGGACCGGACCGAGTTAGCATTTTCAAACAAATGAGTGTAGAATGAAAAGAAAAATACAAAAAAGATTAGCGTTAAGTTCAAAGACAGGCATAAATCATAATCTATGAGTATGACACATTAGAGCCTTCGTTTTGAAATTGGATAAGTCCGAATATAAAACACAAAGAAAAACTGGCCTTCCAATTTGAAATTCAATGGCTTATAGAAAACGACATTCATCCTTGCAAAAAAAAGGAAAAATGAAAAGAAAACGACATACGGAGTACATCTTTGACGACAAGTAAAGGCCCAAGCTAAGATCCCAAATACACTTAAGGGCCCATCTATTAGGTGTTGAAACTTGAAACAGCTAATATTGTTGAGTCTGTGGAGTAGTTGTATCTATCTCTAATTACTACTCTCTCAGTCCCAAATTGTAAGATACATTTACTATTCACTTGGTCAACATAAATCACTCTTAATCTTTTACTTTATATATCAAAAGTTTATGAAGTTTGAATTATTTTTTGCATGTTTTGTAGCGGTTTTAATGTAGTTTATGAATATGTAAACTTAATTTTCTAAAACTAATTTAAAACTTTATTTTCAATTTGCTTTAGCGTCGGTCAAACATGAAATAGTTATTGAAGTCCTTACATGAAATTGTAGAACTACTTCTAGGTATTTCAAATTACTCCTAGAAAACAGTTTTTTAAAAATTGAGGGAGAATAACCAAAGCACTGACTAAAGAAAACACTATAGAACTACTAGGTGCCATATAAGCATATCTTTGAACAAAAAAGAGATAAGTTTTGAATAAGAGGATGGTACAACTAACATCAGCCTACCATGTAGGCATAAACTAATTGACCCAACTCAAACATTGAAATTGGTAACTTTTCAAACTAGTTCATTATTTTTTTGTGCATTCATCCTCAACTTTTCATCCATACAAGGCTACACATACAAGGCTACATATGATAATGTAATTGTTTGAATTGATAGTATTTCAGCTCAAAGTGAACTAAAATTTTGCACAAACGGGATTCTAGAATTCATTTGATAACAGTGAAATTAATTTAATCGATGGAATCTACTGAAATTAAAGTTGAATTGTTGGATCTTCTGAATAATAATAAATAAATATTTTGACCATATTGTATTAATAAAATAAACAAAACAAATACGAAGTACTATTTATGGAAAATCTAAAATATTCCTCTTCGACAAATTCAATTAGAAAAATAGATGCATCCTACATTATTTTAATTTTACACAATTTATTGAATGAAATTAAAAATTTTAAGCTCTTTTGGTAGCACCTTTTTCAGCATATTAGCCGTATCAGCCATTTTTTTATCAAACTTGAAACTATTGTTGGAGTAAAGTTATAGTTAGTTTTGTTACTGAAATTGTTGTAGCGACCATTTTAGCTATTTTTCATACAATCTTTTCTTTATTTTATTAATAAATATATTTAAAATGTAAGTTTGTATAATTTAGCAGATTTCGCCTTCACGCAAAGTTTTATCAATTACAACAGATTCAATAGATTCAGTCAATATCAATTTTATGAGACTGACTATTAGTGTTTGCTTAAATGGTGGACTGATGACTCTAATGGAATTACCAAATAGGTCATTAAGTGAATACATGCGGATTTTAGTACTCCGTAAAAGTTAAATATCAAGGCATCAATCCACACATATATAATGCTTGAGGTGAGGAAGTAGCTGAATATAAAAAGGATGAAACCACATCCATGAGAACACCTAGTTTCGGCTGGATAGTTAACTGAGAAAATGTAAATAGAGAGTGAGGTTATGGCTCAGATACTTGCATAGACCTTATGCATTTTTACATGTTAACCTCTTATCGTAATCACCAAGAAGTAGTTGAATAAAAAATGGGTTAACTTATCACAATAAATAGTAAGGAGTACAAATATCAACTATAAATGCAGGGTTGGACTACGTTTTCAAGTGAAAATCATTACCAGCTAAACAAACCTATTTGGCGTACTTTATTTGTTATTATCCTATTTTGCATTACCACGTATTCACTTTTATGATGTTTTTATTTAGATTGAAATTTTCTAGTCCGATAGATGTTTGATGTTTCTATATTTTACAATTGTCGAGGTATGATCTGATTTGTTTAAGTCTGGTCTGGTTTAGCGTGATCTAAAATCAAAGTAAGTCCTAGTAAAGACATTATCACTAAGTTTGAATGTGTTATGAGTTGTTTTCCTTATATTTGACAAGATTGGTTTAAGGATCCTAAAACTTATTCTATATCATTGTCGGTTTTCAATTTGGTTTAAGGATTCAAAACTTTGTGGTATAGATTATTTAAGGATTCAAAAGTTTGTGGTATAGATTATATAAGGAATTAAAAAAACAATTATACTTGCTCTAATCATTTCGGAAGCCATGTTTCTGATTTTTATAATGGCGCCTTTACTTTTTTTAAGGAATAAGCAATACGAACTACGAAGTAGATCTGAAACGAAACAATATGTCAACATGGAACAGTTGAACCTTGAAAATGAAAACATAATTTAACGACTTTTATCGATGTATATATTGACTTTTAGTATAATGTCACTCCCTAGCCCCCAACCCCCACATTACAACTCTGCAAGATTTGAAATGAGTTTTAGTTGGCTACATTAAATAAGATTGTTCTATTAGCATTTTTTCCCATCAATAAATTTCATGTCATAATAACATCTATTTACGTCTCGACTTAAACTTCTCATTGAAAATAAATACTCCCTCCGTCCCGGAAAATTAGTTCCACTTTGACTTGGATCCGAGTTTAAGAAAGTGAGAATAAAGTGAAAATGTATGATTGTGGTTGAGTAAGAAAAAAGTAAATGAATGTTAGCCACACAAAATTTTCCAAAAAGGGAAATGAGAACAATTTTTTGGGACGGCCCAAAAAGGAAAATGAGACTTATTTTATGGGACGGAGGGAGTAACTAAGTGTATTGTTTTTATTCTGATGATTTAAGAGTGTTTTTATCTCTGACTCCAAATATGGTAAGTGAAAATTTTAGAATGAGATAGAGGGGGTATAAAACACTCGAATCAAACAAGTGAAATCATCACAAGTAGGACCCTTAGAATGTCATATTCTTAAAGTAAGGTACTTGATAGAGTATATGGACTGGGACCTCCGGTCTCAATACTATTTGGTCCGGACAGCGGCCCACATATTCTCAGTAGATAGCATTTACATCATTGTACACTCTACTTATTCATGTATACACATTAGAATAGATTGGACATCATTTATTAGCCATTTATTGACATTTTATTGTAAGTAGGCCTGCTAGGCCCAAGCCTGGAAGCTAAAACCACTTTCTCCTATAAATACTCCTTATGGGAGCCATGTCAAGGGTTAGAAATTCATTTATACATATCACTTTATCTCTCTAGATTAATAATCTATCGTTTGGTCCTTTCATTGAGAGTATGTCGTCGGTGCATGTGGCAATCTTTGTGAAGAATTTAAATTTCGTGGTTCTTCTATGACGGAGGCACTAAATCCCCCGCTCTTCCAGCCCCCACTCCATGAGGCAAATGTAATCAGGTGAAAAGGAGTAGAGTAATGCATGTCTCATGATGTCTTGAATGGGGAGTCGAAGGTCGACACCTTTTGTCCACAATGGGGAGATGCCTCGTAAAAAACCTCACTAGGAAAAACCATGTGGGGAAAAATCCTAATGAGGGAAAAAGAGTACACCAAATGCCCCAAAATGAAGCAAAAGGATGACTCCTTCGGCCTAGGTGTGGAGATGCAATGGTCGCCTTCTGTTGAGGGGATGGCCAAGACCGGTCTTCGTATGTGCATAGCTCGGCATGATAAGTAGTTCCAATCATCAAATAAAGATGACTAGAGGATAGGTCGAGCGACCGTCCGTAATGTGTTGTCCAGATCATCAAATAGAGATGACTAACAGATATATGGCCATGAGGCATATATGATATCCATGTCATCAAATAAAGATGACAGGTCGATATATGGCCGATGGACCTATATGAGAGCTCCACGTCATCAAATAAAGATAATGGGGCAATGTATGGCCGAGGGGCCTATATGAGAGCTCCACATAATCAAATAAGATGACAGGGTGATATATGGTCGAGGGGTCTATATGAGAACTCCACATCATCAAATAAAGATGACAGAGCGATATGTGGCTGATTGGTCTTGTAAATGAGTTTCACGTCATCAATAAAGATGATAGAGCGATATATAGCCGGTGGGCCTGTAAATGAGTTTAACGTCATCAAAAAAAGATGATGGAGTGATATATGGCCGATTGGGCCTGTAACTGAACTCTGGGCTCTTTTAGCCTTTCAGCCGGAGATCGCACGATGTTCGTTGTATCTGAATATGAGGACGACGACACTGAGGAGCCGGTCCGGATATGAGGACGAAGCAGTGGACGCCTGTCTGAATATGAGGACGACGACGGTGATGAGCCGTTCCAAAAAAGAGGATGAGGTGGTGGACGCCTGTCTGAACATGAGGACGATGACGCTGATGAGCCGGTCCGAATATGAGGACGAGGCAGTGGATGCATGTCTACATATGAGGATAACAGCGTTGAGGAGTCGGTTCGAATATGAGGACGAGGCGGTGGATGTCTGTCTGAATATGAGGACGACGACATTAATGAACCGATTCGAATGTGAGGATGAGGCGATGAGAAGTCGTTCGTCATATGGGGGCGACGGTCACCATCTAGGAAGGGATGGCAAGCCCGGTCACTAAATTAAATCAAGACATTCGGCGCTGAGGGGCCGGTCTTGAAATATATCATCACGTCGAGGCTGAAGGGCCGGTCATGATGTGAGGATGGCGATGCTGAGGAGCCTGTCCGAGATATGATGATGGGGCATTGATGAGCCGGTCATCATATAGAGGCGACGGTCGCTACCCAGGAAGGGAATAGCCAGCCCAATTGCTAGTTGAAGACACTCGGTGATGAGAAACCGGTGTTGAGATATAGAATCACGCCGAGGCCGAGAGACGGTCGTGATGTGAGGACGGGGGCGATGAGGAGCCGGTCCAATATATGATTATGATGCGATGATAAGCCGATCGTTATATGAAGGCGACAGTCACCATCCAGTTAGGGAATGGCGAGCCATGTCGACATAACGAGACACTCGACGCTGGGGAGTCGGTCTTGAGATAGAAAATCACGTTGTAGCCGAGTGGGCTGGTCGTAATGTATGGACGTCAGCACTGATGGGTCGATCCAAAAATACAAGCAACAGTCCTCATCCATAAAGTGGGAGAATGAGGTCGGTCTTCAGAGTATGATGATCACGTTGAGACCGAGGGGCCTGCCGTGTCTTGAGATGAAAGATGACATTGAGACCGAGGGGCCTATACTAGGGGTGGGCATAAAAACCGAACTGAACTGGTACCGAACCGGCCCATTATGGTACCGAACTGAATATCAGGTATTTAAACGGTTCTATAGAATTTAATCCTGAACCGAAATCGTACCCTTTTAAACGGGTACAGGGCCGGTCCTAGATTTTGAGAACCGAAAAATACCGGACTGAACCGTTCAAAAATAATGCCTTTGAGATTTTTATATTTTTCAATACCAATAAATATCTTTTATAGAGCAACAATTGTATAGCCCAAGTATGTATTCATGCATCCTTAAAATAGCTACATGTGTGTGTTATATAAATATTGTTACTTTTATCCTTTTAGATAATTTATGTTATATTTGGTATATTATATAATGAAAGAATGATAAAGTTTAAAAAACCATTAATGACTATTAATTTATAGTGATGTAGAGTATATGACGTTTTGTTGTATCATATTTGTGTAGTTTTACAACTTAATTAATATGATCTGAATCTTAGCTCTTACGTTTCAACTATGAATAAAATTAGAACTAATATTCAACTTAGAACAAAGAAGAAGAACGTTAAACTTTTCTATTATATTCAACAATTTAATGATATTTTTTTTATATTTACAAATGAGTTTAATACATATGATATTATACTAGTGTATCGTTGTTTTGCTATATTTTTACTTAATTGTGCTGCACTATTTGAGTGTTTGTGAATTTAAATATAAAAATGTCAACCTCTTCAACCTTTTCTAGTATTTAGTATGCACATTGTTGAATTTTTATCAACATTTCATGTGAATTGGCCGGTATGATTATATGTATTAATTGCAAGATTTGTCCAAATGTTTTGGCATGCGTTTGGCATTGTACCAAACCGTTTCGAACCGTTCCAAAACGATATAGTACCGAATGGTTCCATCCTTAGAACCGGATCGTACCAAACTGTTAGAAACCTCATGGGTACATTACGGGTTTTGCTAATTTACCGGATCATTCCGGACCGCGCCTACCCCTAGAGGGGCCTGCCGTGATGCATGGGCTTCGGCGATGAGGAAGAGCCGGTCCCAAATATGATGACGAGGCGATGATGATGCCGATCATCATATAAGGAGACGGTCGCTATCCCGGAAGGGAATAGAGAACCCGATCGCTAGCTCAAGATACTCGGCGCTGGGAGGCCGATCTTGAGATAGATAATCATGCCTCGACCGAGCAGGCCGGTTGTGATGCGCGGTCAGCAATGCTGACAGAGTCAATCCGAATAATGATGACGAGGCGATGATGAGCCGGTCGACATGTAAAGGCGATGGTCACCATCCAAGAAGGGATGGCGAGCCCGATCACTAGATCAGGACACTAGGCACTGGGAAGCCGATGTTGAGATATAGAATCACGCCGAGGCCGAGGGGCTGGTTGTAATATGAGGACGGCGACGTTGAGAAGCCGATCCGATAATATGACGATGAGGCGAATGATGAGCCGATTTTCATGTAAAGGCAACGGTCACCATCCAGAAAGGGATGGTGAGCCCAATTGATGTAACAAGACACTCGGCGCTGGGGAGCTAATATCGAGATAGAGAATCACACCATAGTCGAGTGGACGGTCGTGATATGAGGACGACGATGATGAGGAGCCGATCCAACGTATGATGACGAGTCGATGATGAGCCGATTTTCATATGATGGACACCGTCACCATCCCGGAAGGGAATGGAGAGCCCAATCGCTAGATCAAGACATTCGGCGTCGAGGAGTCGGCCTTGATATGAATAATCACGCCAAGGCCGAGGGGCCGGTCGTGATGTGAGGACGGTGATGCTGAGAAGCCTCCTCGAGATATGATGACGAGGCGATGATGAGCCATTTGTCATATAAGGTGACAGTCGCTATACCAAGACTTCGGCATTGGGGAGCCGGTCTCGGGATAAGCATGACGATGCTGAGGAGGGCGCTCATGATATGATAAAGTAAGACTTGCGGCATCGGGAGCCGGTCTTGAGATGAACAATACGTTTGGGGGATTTATTTATTTTATTTTCTATTTTGCTTGGGAACAATGATGAGTTATGTCCCGACTCCCCTTTTTTGAACTTCTCTTTACTCCTTCGAGCAAGAAGTGTGGGATCTATTTTCAGATTGGGCCGAGGGGGTTGCTAGGCCCTCAGGTTTTGGTGTTTCCCCAGTTGTTCATTCCTCCGCTTTTTTGTGTGAGCTTACCGAGGGGGTTGCTAATCCCTCGGCTATTGGGATGTTCCCATACCAAGGGGTTGCTAGTCCCTCCGCGATTTGATGGGAGCCAGGGATGACAGTGGCCCCTTCAATGGATGAGTGTCCCACCCTGGTCGTGGGGTCCATGATTGGGCACCGATGAGGACCAGGGACGACAGTGGACGAGGGTCCTGCTTTCGCCGAAGGCCCTACTTCAACCGTTGTGACCCTGACTGGAGCGAAGTCCCTGTTTTAGCCGAGGTGGAGCCTTCGCCGAGGCGTGGTGGATGAGGTGGTGCAGGGGGCTGTTAGCTAGTGGCGAGGGCTTAAATTCCTGCGTGCTGCATCATTTTGACCGAGGGGACAACCTTCCCTTGACTTATTCACCTTGTCGGTGCTTGTTTTGGCCGATTTACATCCACTGATATCATGCTCCAATGTGTAGATGTGGTAATTTCCAGTCCTCACTAGTGCAAAATACACATTCTATAACTAGGTTTTAACATGGGTTCAGTTATAACCGTTGTCGTATGTAGGAGTGAGGTCATATTTATAAATAATGAAAGTTTTAATAAGTCCATCGGGTAATTATTAGAAATATAAACAATTACCTATAACAGAGCGGGGTATTTTTTTTAATTTCCTGAAACTTAAATAATGAGTGGGGTCTCTTTTATAATTTTACAAAATGCTTTATAATGTCAGGTGATTTTTAACCCTTATGAAAAGGGTCTTGTAAGTTTAATCATCCGCTTATTTAAAACAGGCTTAGGGTTTCAATTGCTTCTATCTTCTCGATGAACACTGCGAATAAGACCTAAACGCTGGATGAAGACGGCTGCTGATGCTCTGCTGCTTTCCATTGACGCTCCACGCACTGCTACTCTACATTGACGTTCCAAGCACTCTTTCCTCTATTAACGCTCGACGCACAAAGGCGAGGGATGAAGGCTACGCACGAAGATGACGCCTCTGCATCAACCAGCGACGAAGGGACGGACGAAGACAATGTCTCACCATCAACCGGCAGCGAAGGGACACACATTAACCGGCGAAGAGGATGCACAGTTTGCTGCTCTCCATTACCGATAATCAGCTCTCATCTGTTGTAGGCAAATTCTCGGTTACACGTTATACTAATGATTTTTTACTAAGGCTGCAGTTGTGTTTCCATCTACGGGTTGTTTATTTCCTTCAAATTTCAGTTTTAAATTTGATTAATTTTTAGTTTAGACATGTCTATAAAATTTCTGTAAAAATGCCCAAGTGAGATTGTGAAAGAATTTTTCTACACAATACCATTCTTTTATGAATTTGAAGAATAAGATGGGTTAGTCATTCTTCAGCTATGGTCAAATGATTAATTCTGCAAGAAGATGATAGTCTACGTTTTTAATCATTTATGTCATTTGTTGTTTCCCTTCTGAGATATTTGTGTTTCACCCATTAGTTCTCTACACAAACAACGGGAAAATGACCTTAACATCCATGCACTCTTCAATGAGTAAGTGTTTTCCCTCTTAATTTCCCAGTGTCTGTATAATGTAAGTTAGTTTTGGCTTGCACAATTTTAAAAAGGTCACTTTTGATACACAAAAAGGCGTTACTTAGAAATGCAACTCTTATTAGAGCTGTAATATTATTATCTAAGAAATGCATACTGGTACGGTTGCAGCTATGTTCCCACTCCAGTCTTGGATATTATTGATGTCCAGCCTAAAGAGCTTGGCATACCTACTAAAGCATACTATGTTGTTGAGGAGGTCAAAGAGGTAAGATCATAAACACTTTACCTTCTTGTTTGAGGGAGAAAAATAAATTGATGAGAAAAGATGTATTCTTTTAGTTTATCTATATGTGCAATTTATAGCCATCATTTTTTAAGATGCCTTATTGTTAAATGGTTGTACAAATATACAGAATGAAACTCAAAAGAGTCAGAAGGTCTTCAGAAATTGTTGCTCATGAAGTGGAAGAGATTGGCATGTTCTCTTATCCCAACTTCTGTATTTTTTTACTTTATCCAGTTCAAATGAGTTTTTGTTGCTCTACCACTGTGTGATAGCATTAACATTTGCATTGAATTTTTCCATCTTTTGTCAGCATTTCCACTTCTCTTTCTTATTATATATAGGGGTAGAGCACTTGCTGAGGGATGTCAAGGATAGCACAATCAGTACTCTTGCAACAGAGGTTTACTTTCTCAACTTGCTTAATGTTTGTTCTGATTGTTTGTTCTAATTTCTTTTCAATTTAATGTTTGTTCTAATTGCTTTTCAGTTCTTATTATCATTATTATTTCTTTGATTATTTTTATTACACACCTTTCTGTGTGGAATCTGAATTGGGTTTTTTATTCTATTTGACAGAGAATAAAGAAATTCAAGATTTAACTGATTTTATTGAAGCTTGAAGAATAGTGTGGTGAGAAGAAGCTTGAAGAACTAAAGTGCACTCAGGAAGAAGCTTCAAGAAGAACACTCAAGTAAGCTTAATGTTTGTTCTAATTGCTTTTCAGTTCTGTCATTAAAGTCTAATGGTTTCCAATTTGCTTTTACTAAGATTTTATAAGTTTTGGCTCTCATTTGAACTTTTGGGGCAAGCCTGGTATGGATTCGGCAACAAGACTCCCATGTTAGCAATTATAATATTAATATAGGAAAAGTGGAAAACATATTGAAAAGGGAAAGCGGTTCCAGAATAATAAACAAAATAAATAGAATTAGAGGCAAAAGTATCACTTTTTGTGGCTAGAACTTGTAGCATAGATTTATACTCAAGCTTTCTGTGTACAAAGCCAGCCTTAGAGTGTCAATCCATATTGCAAGAAAGAAGAAGACGGATTTGACCCAAAAGTATCACAAAACTAATGGGTGAAAATAAATTTGATGTGTACTCAAGCTTTCCATGTAGTATCACAAAAGTATCACTTTTTTGTGTCAAAGCCATATGGATTGATTTCTAATGGGTGAAAATATTTCCATAGAAAGAAGAAAATGGATTTGACAAAGTTAAAACATACTCCCTATAATACTATAAAACAGCTAAAAAGAAGAGGAAGTTTCTTCTTAGCACCACACCACAAGCATAGAAATCTGGAAACAAATTTAACTAATGAAGTTAAATTTAACCATAAGTACCACATCACTTCTTAGCAAACTGAACTACTAAAGCTACTTAAAGCTTGAGACACAAATTTACGTATATGCTGCTAATTAGACAACAATGTGCAGGGAATTCATTCAACACTTCTTTGGGAGCATTGGGGTTTCAATGAGTGAGAACTCTGGAACATCTTCCCCCCAGCTCATGCATAGTGGCAGCGCATGTGGAGACATCGGTGAATCCCCACAAATAGGTGTGCTATTGTCCCTTTTCAATTATTATTATCATTATTATTTCTTTAAAAAGTTTTATTACACACCTTTTTGTGTGGAATCTGAATTGGGTTTTTTATTCTATTTTACAACGAATAAAGAAATTTAACTAGTTTTATTGAAGCTTGAAGAATAGTGTGGTGAGAAGAAGCTTGAAGAACTAAAGTGCACTCAGGAAGAAGCTTGAAGAAGTAAAGTGCATTGAGAAGAAGCTTGATGAAGTAAAGTGCATTGAGAAGAAACTTGAAGAATTAAAAACTGCACTTTGAAGTGCATTGAGAAGAAACTCGAGTCATTGTTATAAATCTTTTGTTTGAATAATTAAATTTAATTCAAATGTTTCTCGATTGAAATTAAGTGTTCGTAATTTTTTCTAGGTTTATATGCATTGGGATGTAAAGCTTTAGTGTTCTACGTACTTGTTTTTAGAAAAAGCAGCCATTATCTATTTAGAGATATAATATAATATAATATGAAGTATAATATATATTAATATACATTATTAAAATGAAAAGCATTTTTTAGAATTGCATTTTTTTAATTTAAAAAATGGACTTTCTATAACGGTTCATTGACAACTGATATGATGAGTTTTCCGTAAGGGTTGAAAACAACCGACACCGAAAGGGTGTACTTTCCATAACGGTTCCGAAACTCATATTAAAAGTACCAGACTTTTAATAGGTGCTGCAACAATAACGGTTCTGAACCGTTATTAAAAGTCCATTATAACCGTTATTAAATCCATATTTTCCACTAGTGCCTGACCGAAGTGTAATGTTTGTTTTGCTGTTTATCTTGGTCGGTGTGTGGCCTTGCTGCTACCCGGACGAGGGGTGACAGAGCTTTGAGGCCGATGGGGAACATCACTCTTGTTTCCAAGACAAGGGAGCATCCCTCTGTTTTGGTTTAACCGAGAGGTCTAAGGAATGGTGGAGTCATTGCAGACGAGGGGTGCTAAGGAGCTCTCCTTGGCCGAAGGAACTGTCGTTCCTCTATTTGAGACGACAATGTTGTTCTTTGTTGTTTGTTGTTCCACTATGAATAGACTCTCCTACGGATTTTATATTTAATGCATCTAACCACGAGATTTTTTGGGCTAATGTCCAACCCACTCTTATTTCCATTAGACTCTCCTCACCATTTACATAATACAAGTGTTTGGTTGGTCTTGTAAGCCATTAATAGAGCTTTCAAGCTTCATTAGAGAGAAGGCGGTGGGTAGAGAAGATGAAAGCTAACTAGAGAGAGAGAAAAGGGATCCCATATATGGAGGGAAAACCTCATATTTATAGGGAAATGATGGAGTGGTGCAAAGCCACCCTAATAGGCCGAGGTGGGCCGAAATGGGCCGCATGGGCCAAAGAATTACCGGGTGGGCCGAAATGGGCATCACTGATTGGGCTCTGTACTGGGGTAGTGTATTGGGCTCCTGAACAGTAGTAGACCAAAATAATACATCTCAACTATTATTTTGTTTACTTTGATTTTAAAGCGTGGATAGATGCATTAAATATAAAATCCGTATGAGCCCGTTTGTTATGAAATCCGTATGAGCCCGTTTTCATGAAAAGTGTTGGGAAGTTACACTCTTTCTTTTAACTATGTAATGTAAACTATGAGACACTTTTTAAAAACATTTTATAATGTACCATGCAAAGTATTTTACGTGGGGGAGGGTAGTAAACTAGTTTACACCTGTTAATACGTAGAACAAATATAACGAATTACTCCAAATAGGATTAAATTTATGGCAAAAACTCAAAATAGGACTTATTATGTTTTCTTTTCAAAATAGGACCATATTAGTCCTATTGGAAACATACCTGTTTTTTCATTCCATTTTTACCCTTCCTTTAAATATGATTTAATTAAATGTTTAATTCATAAAAAATTCAAAAAAATTCAAAATTTCGTAGAAAAATAATTAAAAAAATTTATAAAAAATTTATAAAATAAAAATTTAAAATAAAAAATAGTAAAACTCCATAAAAAATTAAAAAAAATATGGATGCCTTTCCCACCGTCTGTACTACCTCCCTGCACCACCATCTCCGGGCGGTGAAAAAATGTCATTTTCCCTAAAAACTGCCATTTTTTGCGAAAATGCCAAAACATGGCATATTTCTCTTTGAGAATCCCAACATTTTCATTGTTCTCTGCCATAAATATGGCATTTGTAATAAACTTGGCATTTTTTTCCCTGGTGACTGGAGGTGGTGGTGCAGAGGCGGCGGTGAATTTTATTTTATTTTTTTGAGTTTTTTTTTTTAATTTTTTTATTTTTTTTATTTTTTTGAAAATAAATAAATAAATTATTATTATCGAAATATTTTTATTAATTTTTTAGTATTTTTTACGAATTTTTTATTATTTTATATTATTTTATTATGAATTAAAACATTTCAATAGCTATAAGGGTATATTTGTCCAAGACACACATAATTAGTCCTATGAAAACATAGTTTATTTTTTGGTCCTATTTGTGCAAAGTGAGTGACTTTTAGTCCTATTTTGATAATTAACCCATATAACGAATTACAATTTCCCGATCAATAGAGTCACTGAACTTTTGGTGCAATGGTGTATCAGTACAAGAATTTTTATAAAATATGATGAGGAAATTCATCATATAAGGTTCATTTTTCATCATTAAAATTTTTTTGTGACGAACTAGGAGCGTCATGTGATCGTCATCGTAGCTCTGTGTCAAAAGGTATACATGATGATTTTAGAATTTGTCATTGTATAGTTAGTTTTTATGACACTTTAATCATTGTTGATGACCTTTAGTGATGTCTAATGCGTCACTTAAGTTGATTTTTTGTCAGTTATGTATAAGTTTTGTCATCTATGCTTGAGATAATAAATGAGGAAATCAGAATTTTGTCAGCAATATAGTTATTTTTATGACGCTTTAGTTTATCGTAACCATTATTGATCATCTTTAGTGACGTCTAATGCGTCTTTTTAAAGTTGATTTTGTCACTTTTGTATGATTTTTGTCATCTTTACTTGAGACAATAAATGACAAAATCACATACTCTCAACAAAAAATAATTTGTAATGACGATTCAAGATATAATATCAAATCATTGAATTGCAGTGAAAGACAATAAAGTTATCATAGTTTTTCCTGTTGAAATATTAAAATTTTATTAAATAAAAAAATATGATACAAAAGAGGGGGGCCAAACCAAAAACCCTTCGAAAATAGAAAATATAGAACATGACCTTACCCTTGATTTAAGTGGAACAATAACAAAAATTAGAGCTACAAAAAAAACATCAAACCTAGTGCAATCAATTAGTTTGGGTTCAATGTATATCTAGGAAAGACACCTCCAGAAACTTGAAGCATATATTACTCACTTTCCTTGATTAATTGTTTGACAGCTTCTCTCACAATCGTAAATGGCTAGCTAAGATTCCAATCATTTCTCTCTTCTTCTCATTAGATTGCAATTCTGGTGTGGGCTTCTGCACCAAAATCCTTTAAATATTTTATTAGTCAAAAGAAAACAATACAAATTAAATGCTAATATTCCGATGTGCAATGCCATTACGAGATTTACGCCCTTTGGATATTAGTAGATAGGACTTTTTCATGAAAGGAATGATCTACCACGTCAAAATTATATGAAACAATCCTTCACATCAATAGAGAAAGAATGCACATGATCGTGCTAAACTTGCAAGTAGACAAGTGTCGATGTAGTAATAAATTCCGGTAAAATAATGGGTCGAATCCACAAGGAAACGTCGTTCTATAAAGTTCAGTTTTGAGAAATAAAAAGAGAGAATAAAAGTAATAAAAATGGAGGGTTTTTTGTCTGTTTAAGTGAATATATGATAAAATGACTAGGGCATCGGGATTCTCGCAAACGTTAACTAGAATTCAATAAAAGTTCTTTGTCAATTCTTATGAGTACGGTATCGCTATTATGTTCCCGACTCCGGTTAAGGCAGTAAGAACGTGATTTTCGCTACGTGTGAGTCCCGTTACGGCTCACATTCATCTAGAGAAAACCCCGTTGAATATTAAGATACCACACACGCACCATACAAGATCGGGTATATTTCTACCCTCAATACTTTGTATGTTTATTCTTCTAGAGAATGATTTATATTGCAACGTTAATTGACCATATAAACATCTAGATGTTATGCAACATAATTATACTATCGTATATAATTAGCTTAAAGAGAGTAAAACGCGAATCACTTCTTCTAGTGTCCAATTGATATTTCAACGTTAGTTACTTCATATCAATACATGTATTATACTATTATGTTGCATAACATATATGGCAAATTAAACATAAGAAGAATAAATCATAAAATTTGACTTGGAACAAATATAAAAAACTAGCGGGCGTAGAGGTTCATCTCGAGCCTTGGCTTAAGGAATTAGCCTCTAACGCTCATATTAATCAAAATTACAATACTTTGAATGTAGAAGAACATGTAAATATAAAGGAAATATTACATAAACATCAATGGTTGGAAGAAATGAGTTTCCACACCTCAAGAACACCACGAAGAACAAAGAAAAACTATAAAAACTAGTTATGAACTAATGAATTAAATTGAGATTGGATGATGAATTTGGGATGAATTGGAGGGTTTATATAGTCTTGAAAATGATCTTTGATGGTATATTCATGATCCTTAATCAACTTGGAATGAAATTTCCGAGCCATACCTTCCAAATACCTTCAAATCAACTCAAAATATTCAAGCACGTCGTCAGGTTTTCTGCAGATTTGGGGTAACCGGCGCCAGTTGTGTTTCGGCAATTCCGGCGTCGCAATTTTTACAAGCAACCGGCGCCGGTTTGGTGCAATTCCGGTGCCGGTGTTGTCCTGGGATTTTTGGGGATGTTTGACTACAAATTTGGACATGATTCCTTCAAAAAAGTTGTAGATAATGAAGTCTTCTATCCACCAAAACTTGAATGACGTGATTTTATTTATCCAATCAAACGATATGGATAAAACATTGAGAGGTATGCATCCTGAAATTCCACCAGCACATCTGACTTTATAGATTTGAGTCTTGATCCTTTCATATTCTGGTCATGACGTCTTCATAACATTTGTACCTTGTTGAGTTGAAATTCACATAAAATTCGAATCGAGTGATTTCAAATTCTCTACAATAAGTTATACTCGAATTATGGCAGATTGTCATCCTCTTGGTCCAAAAAAAGCCGTTCATCGCGATGTTTTATGCTCTAGTTCTCATTCTGAAGGTATTTGTCTGATTTCTCTTCTTTTCTTCAACAAATACTTATAAATACTTATGTTAAACACAAGTAAATATAATGTCTATCAACACACCAAGCCATCTTGTGGGTGATTTCACGTAACATGCAAATCCTTCACATCAACAACAATTCATGAGTTGCCCTTAAGATATGCCAAAGGAATCAATTCAAGTGAAGAAGCTTCCTAAAAGACGCACAAACAAGAAATTAAATCCAAGTGAA